GATATTACTGCCAAATATGCACAAAATATCTGTGTTTGGAACATGTTACATCATTGTGTAATTTATGTTATGAAAATTTTAATTAATATTTCGTATTTTTTTTTTTTTTTGTTGCAATTACTCTTCATTTTTGATTTTTTTGTGTATTGAGTTAATTTCTTGAAGTTTCTAGTAAACAAATTTAACAATATTCAATGTATTTTTTTAATTTTTAAAGTTTTTTGTATATATAAATGGATAACAATGAAAATTAGTTAACTTTTCATTAAATTAATATAATGTTGAAACAAACGCATATCTACAAAATTATATGATCATATATTCATTAAATAATATAATTGTACACAATTTTCAAATAAAAAAATTAAAAAATTTTACTGACTCCATTTTTTCGGACCCGGTCTTCTGCACCGTGCGCGAGTATTCGATCACAGAAAATTGGCGCGAGTAACGGAAGGTTAAATGAATTAATAAATAATTTTGTACTTAAAATTCGAAGTTTTTTTTTTGTTTGCAATTTGGTTAGTTTAGTTTAGGTTAGGTTAGGTTAGGTTAGGCTGGGATATCTTACCGGAAGTAAATACTTCCGATTTCATAATTCTAAATTAAATCAGTAAGTATAAGAAAAAAGTAGACGCGGGCATATTTAAAAAAAAACATTGAAAATTACGACTGTAAATTTTGAAGAATGAAACCTGTAAAATTCCTATACTTTACTATAGGAAAAATTCATTTTATGACCGCCATTTTTAAAACCGGTTCGAATTTTTTAAATTTGAAACCTTAAGGGGAATCTACTCAACAATCTGTTTAATTATTCGAAAAAAATATTCTCCTATCTATCACCGTTTAGGAGGAGTATTGCGAACAAGAAAAGGGCTTAGCCTTTTAGTACCTATATAAGATATTTAAACGATTAAGTTTTTTGGAGTTTAATTGTATTCATAATCGCTACGGGTAAATAAAGTTGTATATTTTATAAATGCATAATAGAAATAATTTATTTTGCGATAAAAAAATATAATAAAATCTCAAATAAAAATGATTATCAAACAAACCAACGATATTTCAAAATTGTACGGAAATCGAGGAAGTCGCTTAATAATCCATTTTATACAATAGTATTTATGTATATCATTAGGTAAAACGTGTTTAAATTACTGTCATTAGTAGACAGGAGTTTTAAAAATTTGTTTAGAAGATATAAATTTCTAAATTATTATTTGTTATAAATTCATGCACCAATTTGTCAAAGGATGCTATCGAAATGTTAGAAATATTAAAGTTTTTGAGACCTGTTCACCTGTTTTACCTGTTCACACACAGACTGATATTGTACAAGCCAAAAGGTCTCATATTTGTTTTCATTAGCCCTGCAGTACTGACGTGAAAAAAATTACACCGGTTGTGACAACGGTCTCTCAAACCGTGTTTATGTTTTAGCCTTGTATTTGGAGAAAAATTAACAAACATTTTTTTTCTTTTTTAATGAAAATAATTTCTATCCTTGTGCGATCGCTACTCACCGGAGGGACCGCAGACGTTCGGATACAATTAGCGTCTCTTAGCAAAGACAATGACGTCGACTTTGCTAAATGTCAAGACAATTACTCTACACACACACTACACTAGGTACCTGACTGTACCATGCCAATGATCTTAGTTGTGGACGCATTAACTCAATAATAATAATAAAAAATATTCATTATACATAATAATATGTGAAATGACTCAAATAACTTATGAATTATTATTTAAAAATTTAAATGATTGGTTTTAAATATGCCAGTAATATATCGATTGCTTAATGCTAATACCCCGTATATGCAAACAGTGAAATTTTATAGGAAACAAAAAACCCTTTAAACACTGAAACATTACATGAAAAATATTTTTAGTTTAAATTAATTTGTGATTAACTTTTATGTCAGATACGGGTTATTGATTGAAAAAAAATATATAAAAACTGAAATGTAGTTACGGGATATATTGATTAAAATTTTTGATAGCTTGGAAAAATAAATTACAATATTATATCAACGTAAATAATTATTCATTAAAGAAAAAAAGTATGACTCTTCATACAAAGAAGAGAACTGAAAGACAAATACAAAGATAATTTTGTAACACTTAGACAGTTAAAACACTCACATGTCACAATCACATGTGATATAGTAGATGTGACTAGAGTCTTAAACTGGTCAGTACCAGCCGGTACCTAGCGACTAAGCTCTCCGACGCCAAAATGCAGTGAAATGTGTATTTGTTTTTCTAGATAGTTTCGCACGCCCTAAAATGCCGATATAATAATGGACAATGTTCTAAAGCAAACTCGTTCATTAGTATTAGTGCTTGTGTAAATATTCTCTCGTTATTAAATGTGTAGATTCGATTAATTACGCTTATTTTTTCTCTAGTACAACCCCTATTAAACCAAACACATAAAGAACCAGCGCCGTGAAGTCTACTTGTATATATCGAAGAAAACATTCTTGTACAGTCCATGGTCCTAAAATATTTGGTACTGTACACCATCGAGCAAAAAGACAATAGAGGGAATGTAAAGGTTAGTGGGGGCAAACATATTGTTAGACAGGAAGTGCGATCTTTAGAGGCCACTTTTAAACAAGGAAAGAGAGTCTCTCTCCTTGTTTGACATCAAATTTAGTTGGGTTATGTTATTGTTTGTCCCAAATGTCACATGAAATCTTATTTATATTGAAGTTTTTTAACAATTGTGTCGCATTTTTAGACTCTTATCATTAATAATTAATTAAAACTTTCCCCTCTAAGGACACATTTGAATAATATTATATAGCTACTGTTGATAAGTGTCGGAAAATTTAAATTTCGCGCATTCGCATTTCCGGATATGTCCGCCATCAGAGGCCACTTTTTTTATCTCCTTTTCATACGGATTAGATTCCCTCTTTTGTCTTATTGCTCGATGCTGTACACGCACGGGGAAAGGAATTTAATAAGCTTTCCCCCCAACAGTTGGTGGAAATCAGAGAAAATTCCATCATTGTTTGTGGTCACTGTGCTATCACATGTCACTATATCACAAAATCCATATGAATGAAGGATCCAAAAATATTTGTTAACTTGTAAATAAAAAGGAGAAACTACAACAAATAAGGAAACTATTTTAAAAATTGCTGAAGATTTTTACTCAGAATCGTATAAGCGAGAAGAACTTTCAGATTCTGATCAAAATCAAGTACCAAAAGTCCAAAATGTAGGCTCAGAAGACATCCCAGATATCACAACTGAGGAAATAAAATCAGCTCTCTCGGATATGAAAAACAATAAATCACCCGGAAAAGATGGGATAGTCATTGAACAAATCAAGGAAGGAGAAGGAACGTTAGTAAATGTATTGAAAAAGATGTTTAATGCTTGATTGACAAGAGGCGTAACCCCCTCCCAGTGGCATAATGCAATAATAACCATAATGCACAAAAAAGGTGACATTTCAGACCTAATGAACTACAGATCTATTAGTTTGCTCTCCCATGCATACAAACTATTCAGGAAGATAATAACAAAACTGCTTGTAAACAAACTGGATAGTTACCAACCTTGTGAACAGGCTAGGTTCCGCTCCAGATACGAAACAAATGATCATCTATAAGTTATAAAAACGCTAATAGAAAAGTGTACAGTATAACAAGCCTATCTTTCTTATATTCGTAGATTAGGAAAAGGTGTTCGATACTACAGATCATCATAAAATGATTCGTGCAGGCTGACTGCCGCATTGACTACCGATATATCGCCTTGATTAAAAGTATTTACGAAACTGATACAGCTTGTGTCCGCCGTCATGAAGATACCAAGAAGTTACGAATAGAACAGAGAATTAGACAGGGTGATACTATCTCCCCTCAATTGTTTAGAGCTGTTCTTGAGTATATGTTCAAGCAAATGGAACGAGAGGATAATATGGGAATTAATATAAATGGGGAAGATCTAAACCACCTAAGATTTGCCGATAACATCGTTTTAATATCTGATAGAGTTGATAAAGCTACAAAAATGCTGCACACGCTCTAGTGTCAAAAACAATTGGTCTTAAAATTAACACCTCAAACACAAAATTTAATACCAACCTTGTAGTTAGCGGTAAAATTCTGATTGAGAACCGTAGCATTGACCAAGTAATAGCTTACAAATATCTAGGGCATGAGATTCGCTTAGGCCGAGATAATCAAACAAATGAAATACAAAGAAAGATAGGTCTCACATGGGCTGCCTTTGGTAGATTGAATAACAGTCGAGTCTATTATCCCAGTTTGTTTAAAAAGAAAAGTTTTTAACCAGTGCGTTTTACCGGTTCTTACATATGGTGCAAAAACACTGACTCTGACAAAAAGAACAATAGACAAAATAAGAGTTACACAACGCACTATGGAAAGATCAATATTAGGTATTACCATTAGAGATAAAATACCAAACCTAGAAATAAGAAGAAGAACAGGGGCCACAGATGCAGTTGAAAAAATAGCCATGGCTAAATAGGCGACCAAGGCAAGAGGCATATCGAAGCAGAGGACAACCACCGACTAGATAGACGGATGATATTAAGCGCATCACCACAAACTGGATGCAAGAAGCTTAAAATAGAAATAGGTGAAAAATTTTGCGGGAGGCCTACGTTCAGCAGTGGACAAATATAGGATAATTGATAATGATTCATTAAAATATGGCATATATGTTCATAAATGCTTGTTTTGTATAATCTAAGGTTAGTTTTTTTTGATATTAATGTTATGCATCCTATAGTCTATCATAAAGATTAGGCTCATAAATTTTTTTTTTTTCAAAATAATCAATTATAATGTGTTTTTTTTTAATTTGTTGACAAAATGTGTTTTGGCGTTTACAACTTTGTTCCAGCACAGCATTCAATGGTATTATAATAAAATCTTGAAACTATTTTCCACAAAAAACCTACAAATTAATGTACTATCTATTATAAAAAATAATTGAAAGCTTACCGTCGTTTCTGCATGACCGCTGAAAGGTGCCGTTTGGTGGGAGGATGCACCTCCTTGGCCGTACTGTTGTCCAGCATTCTGCATGGGGCACTGAAAGTAACACATCGTTATAATTAACACCTTACAGCAACAATGTTTGTTGTTAGAGAACTGATCACAGACTAATGGTAAAATTAAATTGTCTCACATAAGTATTCATATTTAAAACGATTTAAAACGAACGACTGGACCGTTTGTTCGTAATTTTCCCAGATAGCCTCAAAAAGAGGAATGAATGTCCAGACATTTTTGAGGGATTTAGTTGTACCAAACCGATATTCAATAAATTATATACTTTTAGTGCTTTTTCATCAAATGATAAATTTGCTAACCATTTTTTCTAGTATAACTTTCCTACAGTTAAATTAGTAAGTAAAAATAAAAAAGGTAAACAATAATTTTCAATTCATCAATTAGCCTATATTTGTCCACTTTGTTGTGATGCGCTTGATATCATCCGTCCATCTAGTCGGTGGTCGTCCTCTGCTTTGATATGCCTCTTGCCTTGGTCGCCATTTCAGAATCTTTCTGGTCCATCTGTTTAATCGCAATCGCAGCACAAAGTTCCAAACAAATATCGAATAAATATACCAAGTGCACGTACTTTATATATGCAGCAACAAATTAATATGGTGTATTGATCCTTACCCCATGAAAAAGATAGCCCCAACGATATCGCAAAATTATGTCTTCAGCGACACTTTAACTACCCAAGTTTGTGATGCACATTAGCGTCTTTCTTGGCCGATGCGGAATCAGGTACTCTTCATCTTCACATACACATGTTCATCGTTTGAGAGATACTGCTCGACTCTTCGTTTTGACTTTAAAAACACATGTGGCATATGGAATCTTCCTTTGTTATCTTGCAGATGGCCGTCTTGGAATGTTTAGCCTTTAAAACCACTGCAACTTACACGCAAATCTGGTTTAAAATATACCAGGAGAATCGAAACTTTTAAAAAGTCTGTTAATACATTTACAAATGTTTATATACAGTTGCGAAGCTGCAACACCATCTATCATGGCTATTTTTTCAACTGCATTTGTGACTCCTGTTCTTCTTCTTATTTCTAGGTTTGGTACTTTATCTCTGATATTAATACCTAATAGGTATTGATCTTTCCATAGCGCGTTGTATAACTCTTATTTTATCTATTGTTCTTTTTGTCAGAGTTAGTGTTTCTGCACCATATGTAAGAACCGGTAAAACGCACTGGTTAAAAACCTTTCTTTTTAAACAAACTGGGATAATAGACTTGAAAATATTATTCAATCTGCCAAAGGCAGCCCATGTGAGACCTATCGTTCTTTGTATTTCAGTTGTTTGATATCTCGGCCTAAGCGAATCTTATGCCCTAGATATTTGTAAGCTATTACTTGGTCGATGCTATGGCTCTCAATCAGAATTTTACCGCTGACTACAAGTTTGGTCATACATTTTGTCTTTGAGGTGTTAATTTTAAGACCAATTGTTTTTGACACTTTATAGAGCGTGTGCAGCTTTTTTGTAGCTTTATCAACTCTATCAGATATTAAAACGATGTCATCGGCAAATCTTGGGTGGTTCAGATCTTCCTCATTTATATTAATTCCCATATTATCCTCTCGTTCCATTTGCTTGAACATATATTCAAGAACAGCTGTAAACAATTTAGGTGAGATATCACCCTGTCTAATTCCACGTTCTATTCGAATCTTCTTGGTATCTTCATGAAGGCGGACACAAGCTGTACCAATTTAGTAAATACTTTTAATTAAGGCGATATATCGGTAGTCAATGCGGCAGACAGTCAATGCTCGAATCATTTTATGATGATCTATAGTATCGAACGCCTTTTCATAATCTACGAATATAAGAAAGATGGGCTTGTTATACTCTGTACACTTTTCTATTAGCGTTTTTATAACTTGTAGATGATCATTTGTTTCGTATCTGGAACGGAACCTAGCCTGTTCACAATGTTGGTAACTATCCAGTTTGTTTACAAGCAGTTTTGTTATTATCTTCATGAATAGTTTGTATGTATGGGAGAGCAAACTAATAGGTCTGTAGTTCTTTAGGTCTGAAATGTCACCTTTTTTGTGCATTATGGCTATTATTGCATTATGCCAGTGGGAGGGGGTACGCCTCTTGTCAAACAAGCATTGAACATTTTTTTCAACATATTTACTAACGTTCCTTCTCCTTATTTGATTTGTTCAATGACTATCCCATCTTCTCCAGGTGATTTATTGTTTTTCATTTCCGAGAGAGCTGATTTTATTTCCTCAGTAGTGATATCTAAGATGCCTTCTGAGCCTATATTTTGAACTTTTGGTATTTGATTTTAATCAAGATTTGGAAGTTCATCTCGTTTATACAATTTTGAGTAGAAATATTAAGCAATTTTTAAAATATCTTCCTTATTCCTTGTAGTTTCTCCTTTTTTATTTACAAGTTTATAAATGCATTTTCATTTAGATGTTCTACTTCTTTCAGTTTTAAAGTTATGAGATTCTAAGCACGTGGTGTTCGTGTGTATCAAGGTTTAAAAAAATGCTTATTAAAAGATTAAAACATTATTTTAAAGAAGATCTTTTCGAACTAAATCATTCCATCATCAGTTTACTAAAAGAGATAGTAAAAAACCAATATTAAAAAACGCGTAAGTTGAAATTTAAATGTATAAAAAGAACACGTTGGTTATTTAATACTTACATAAAAAGTTGTAAAAAAGGAGGATTTAGAGCAGGTCGTTCATATACAGATAACATCTTCTGTCTTAAACAAATTACAGAAAAGAAAATTGTGACAAATAGAGAGTTACATATGACATTTGTAGATCTTGAGAAGGCATATGACACAGTCCCGCTAAATAAACTATGGAAAGTCCTGGGCGCATCAAACATACATCAAACATTGGTTAGTGCTCTCAAAGATCTATATTATGGTTCAAACTCCCAAATGAAATTCGGAAACCTCTTAGCTGAAGCAGTTACTAAGGGTCTCAGACAAGGATGTTGTATCTCTCCGACTCTATTTAAGATTTATATCTCTGCAGCTCTGAAACAATGGAAAAGGAAAGTCAAAGGTATGGGTATACAATTGAACGATCAGGATTACATATATACTTTACAGTTTGCAGATGATCAGGTGGTGATCTCAAATGACAAAGACGGCATGGAATATATGCTTAGAAAACTAATTGAAGAATACCAGAAATGGGGATTAAATATCAATTTAGAAAAGACAAAATACCTCTCAATTGGAGCTGAAGCAGAACAACTCGATATCGATGACAATCAAAAAATAAATCCATGTGACGAATATAAATACCTGGGCGTCATCTTCAACCGTAGTGGAAAAGACGAACGAGAAATAGAACATCGAATTGTACAAGCACGAAGAGCTATAGCAAGTTTGAACGGAGTTCTATGGAGTAAAGAAATATCAAAGAAAAGAAAATTTAACATCTATGAGACAATGGTTAAAACTAGCCTACTTTATGGAGCTGAGACATGGAGAATAACCAAGAAATATAAGAAAAAGGTCGAAGCCACGAAAATGGATGCCATCAGAAGATCGATGAGAATATCAAGAGCCGACAGAATACGGAATGAAGTGATAAAACAACAAATGGGTATAGAGGGCACTATAGTTGAGGATGTTGAGAGAAAATAGCTCATATGGTATGGGCATGTGAGCCGAATGGGGGACGAAAGATTGTCTAAAAAAACGATGATGTGGCAACCCCCAGAGAAGAGGAAACGAGGAAGACCATCACAGAGCTGGAACCTGGGAGTTAGGAAAGCGATTAGCGGTCGAAATCTGGACGAAGACCTAACTCAAGACAGAATACAGTGACGTTTGGAAGTCGGACAACGTCGTAAGACGTTATAAAACCGAATATATATATATATTCGGTTTTATTAATTACCGAAGTTAATGGTCTATTCTTACATTTTGTTACTGATGTCCTTCTAGTGTTTTTCTGTGGCCAAACAATGTTTTTAACAACTTTTTATACATATATATATATATATATATATATATATATATATATATATATATATATATATATATATATATATATATATATATATATATATATATATATGTATAAAAAGTTGTTAAAAACATTGTTTGGCCACAGAAAAAACACTAGAAGGACATCAGTAACAAAATGTAAGAATAGACCATTAACTTCGGTAATTAATAAAACTACAACTGGGGGCATTTAACATGTCCCCCAGGAGCTAGTGAAATTTTGTCGACTTGTATTACCTTATCTGTGCTGGAGTATAGAGCTAACTGATAGAAAGCTGGTATGAAAAATCAGTCACTACCCGTCAACGTCAAGTGGAATGATGTGGTAGGAGCAAAAGTCATTGTGCTTCCGTTTATGGATAGGCCGTTTTTAGTGAAGGATTATGTTTAATGTGTAGTAGGATCAACAATTTTTGGTATGTTAACAAGGGGGGAGAATGTCAAACAATGAGTGACTGTGATGTAAATTAAATTTGGTATACCAGGTTAAGACAAAATTTAAGTTAGGTAATTGAAAATTAAATAAATATCAAAAGTGTAAAAGGGGGATGTTATTACCTAATAATTTCATTATATGAAGTAAGTAGAGATAAAAGTTAATTTGAAAATTATGGAAGATGAATCAAGGAAAAAGAAGTAGGAGATATGAACGTGAAGATGTAAATTGGGGATACTAAAAATGACTGTGATAAGGAAAAGATAGATTTAAAGTGAGTATTATAAATACAGTGAATGAATGTCATGATCCCTATTTCTTTAAATTTCTTGACACTTTTTTGCTTTTGTCTTGGTTTTACATAATTTTAAATGGCTACGGGACATATCTCTACTTTTTCAAGGCAAGTAATGTCTTTTTTAGGCAATCTTTATATATGCGCTTTTCTGTGAAACTTATCCACCGCATAAAACGAAACTTTACTATATTTGACAAATTTTGTAACTATTAACTTTTTTATCAAGATCATCTGTATCACAAAATACACTCAGCCATCGCAAATATTGCGCAATCTATTATATTTCT